TATGTCCAAGCACATCACGAGATCAAACGTCAAACTTTTTCTATTGGCCTTGAGGTTCCATAGGATTTGGGACACAGTGTTTGTATCTGACATAACTCACCACTGAGGAATACTTCAAAGAAAGTCACACAACGGAAGGGGAGAGTTGAGACGTCTGAAATAACCAAATTTTTGGGTAGAAGATGTGACCTTCAGCAATACAAGTTGCCAGCAATATTACCACTTTAAAAAACTTACGTTCAAGTGAGATCCACTGGTTATGCGATGATCATCCAGAAGTACTCTAATCCCTTTCGTTATTTAAGAAAAAATCATGCAGACATTTTGTGTTCATACTTGTAACAACTTTAGAGATATTTCACGATGATACCTTATACCAGGATTTTATTTTTAAAAAAATAGGCTCTTTCCGGTGATTAGATATCTTTGCGCCGTAAATTACTTAAAGACGATTTTTTTTGCAGGAGTAGGATCAAAAAACGCTTCAAGTAGGCTCCATTATGTATCTTCGCGTATAAAAATTTTAGTTCCTGAACAACTCACATTTTTCAACATCACACTCATCCTTTCAGAATATTTTAGGTTTGCAATACCAAATTTGAGCATCTCGTCATACTTTGGAAAAAAAATTCTTAGCAGAGTTGGATTGCTGAAAGTCCGTAGTTTCGATTACAAGAAATTCATTTAAAATCCCTTTATCAGCCAAGCCAAACCCTCTATCTACTCATTTTGCTTTGATCAACAGAATTTTTCACCAGGGAAATATCAGATACGCAACAAAAAATTTCTTGCCTTGTTTTTTTCTTCTATTATAGTTTTCCACATCTTTGCGGTAACAACTTGATCTTTAAAGGAGAGATAGTAGAATTGTTGTCAAAATCAGGAAGTATGTTTGAATTCACATCTTTGCGAGTTATAAAATTTTACATTCCAAACAGAGATTTTTCAATAATACTGTATGTAGATCCCTTTGTCGATGAGCCATTGAACCTATGGAATTAGGATAGGTTTGTGACGTTAGTTAATGATCTATCTGCCATTTCTAATACGTATAGAATGTTGTGAGGATGGAGTAGACTTATCGTAAGATTTTTGTTTGCTTGGTGCGTATAAACTTCTCTTTTACAACTGATAAACTGAGACCAGGCACTATACATTTGTACTTATGGAAAGTCAAATACTATTTGCGCTAATTCAGCACGTAACCATCTTTCAGTAAATTTCGGGTAGAGGTTTATTTTCGTTAGTTAAAATGATCGACTGAACTCAGAACGATGTGAAATTTCAACGAGAACTCGTTGTTAGGACTTCTCTACTTTAAGACGAAGTGAAGTTTCAAATAACCACTACGCATCGGTAGAGCATACTTTTACAGTGACTTCAGTGATTTAATCAAGTCTAACATCGTTGAACATGATTA